ATGCTGGAGAAGTTAGCAGAGTTTATGTGGTCTATAAATGCAGCAAAAAATTATGCAGCCCAAGTCCTGCAGAGCTGGTGTGTCCTGTGCTGACTTGCCAAACCATGAGCTGGTTTTAGCACAGTTGCTATTGGCTTGTGCTGGCTGCAGGGGGGTAGCAGAGCTGTCTCCACCCCAAATCACATCATTCTGTCATATTTTAAGCACATAAACCTAGCACTAAGAGCATCATCAAAAACCTGTCAGAATGAATGGAGACATTTCTACTAAATTTCAATTGAAGCTCTAATCTGCACTTCTTTTCTCTGCATTCATACTTCAAAATTTAGTGAATTCTAATTAATAATAAGAATGGCAGTCCAGTAGGCAATTCAATTCACTGAAGTACAGCCAGAAACCTAAGTGCACAAGAAAAATAACCTGAAGAAATAGGCAAAATGTTTGTATACAGATAGTGGGAACATAGGTAAGAAAATGAAAAAACTTTACCTAGAAGTGCAAGATGTTTACACAGAGAATCTAGGAGTAACAAAAACCTATCAGAAACAATAACTGGAGTCAACTGAATAATACAGGTTTTTCAGAAAGGAGGTAGCTGAATCTATAAGATAATTTGTAATGAAACTAGTTATGTCAATGAAACAAATTCTGTTTGGATCAAGCACTTCAAGCATGAAAAAGGTTGGTTTTTTCAGAATTAATGCTTGTGGAAAATCCCCAAGGTGTCAGATTTAATTCTGCAACAGTATTGTAGAGAGAAATGTAAAACAGAATCTGTCATTAAAAGATGTTGAAGCTCAGAAATTTCTTCACCAGTTACTAATCCAACTAAAGATAATGACAGTATAGATCTGGTTTTTGCTTTGAAATATGTAGGTAACAAAACATAACCTCTAATCAAACATTCAGGCACTGAGTCAATAAACATTACATGACAAAAAGTAATGATCAGCAGAGTTTAATAAGCAAAACAAGCTAGTTAAATATATGAAATATTATGGGAGTTTGTGTTTTTTTTCTGTGAAGAAGACATCAAATTTCATTGAGTGAAACATGCTGTGTTGTATCTGACAACAGAGGACTAGGTTCAGACAGCCAGGATATCCCCTCCAGAACCATTTTCCTAAATTTTTCAGTTAAATGCAAGAGCCTTAACTAAATCAGAGGTAACTTTAGGACAGTTTGACAAATTTGCTTGCTGTCAGTATTCTTTAAGATTCTTCAACTCAGTGCTGAATTTAGACATTGAAGAATCTGTTTTTGTGGCAGTGTAGATTTTTGAGATGTAGGCCGCAGTATCTGTTGTCTACTGGCTGTCTCTCAAACCTGCCAGTTCATCCAGAGAGTCTGATTCAGATGCCTTCTCCATAGATCACATCAGCCCTTCTGGGCTGCCTCATCCCTGAACAGTCTCCAGTAAGATGAGGTTGGTGGGGCACGTGTACAGTTTCTACAGACTAGTGAGGAAGATGAAATTGGAGAGCACCTGACAGAGGACGTTCACCCTGGAGAAGAGAAGGCTCAGGGGATTTTATCAATCTACATAAATACCTGTACAAAGAAAATGAAGCCAAGTTCTTTCCAATGGCAAGAAAAGAGGCAATGGGCAAACACTTAAAGGCAGAAGTTCCCTTTGAACAGCAGAAAACACTTTCCTGCTGGGAGGGTGACTGAGCACTGACACAGGTCACCCATAGAAGATGTGAAGTCTACCCTCTTGGAGGTTTTCAAAAGCCACCTGGACGTGATCCTGGTCAATTGGTTCTAAGGGATTCTGATTGAGCAGGGTTTGGACAGTATGACTGCTAGAGATCCCTGCCTAGCTCAACCATTCTGTAAGCAAACTCCGGTCATTTTAGCAAATTTAATTCTAAAAGTCAGGCAAAGTTTGATGCTTAATATAAATGTACTGCACAACTTCAAAGATACCCACTCACTGTGAAACTGTGATTTCTGGAGGCAGACTATGGCTTGCTCAGAAAATCAGGCAGGAGTTATAAAGTGGATCACTATTCTGCTTGTCCATATGCACCCATTATTATTAGAAGCAGCAGAAGAGAACAGGCAGAAAAGATGCTACAGGAACCTTTAAAGGAGGTTTCCTAAAGAAGAGGGGTCTTGAACTTTGCATGAGCATGGCACTGACTCTGTAATGCTCTTAACTTATTTCTCTCTTGCTACAAAATGCTGAGTACTTCTCTCTGTGTCAGCAATAAGGAAATCTCAGCCTGGAAAAATGAGTTAGGTTTGGAGAAATTACAGCTGAGAGATTAATTGAAGGATTTCTGAAATTAACCCCTTTTTTCCTCCTTCCTGTCTCATGATTTGAAAATGTTTCTCCCCATTGCATGCCCAATCTAACTCCTTTCTTGGAGCTGAATTTAGTAACTCATGCCCTTGTGTTTATCACACTTAACCTGTGGCTGTACATTCTCCATGTGACAGTACAGCAGGTGGGTCCCAAACAATTCAACTGTGGCTGAGTTACAGCTTCAGTGTCTGCCCAGGTGTGCTATTCATGTTACACCTCAGAAACAACAAACACCTTTAAAGATATTGATTCAGGAAATGCTGAAGGATTTTCTGCTGCCCTGTGAGGGATAATGGAAGGTTGTTATTTGGAGAAGTTCTTACCCAAGATCTTCTAAAGCTCAGTTTTGCCTGTTTAGTGACTGGGGAAAGGGACTACTTGGCGTGTGTGTTTCCTGACTGCACTCCTTTTGCAAAAGCTCATTTCTTTTCACTACAGCTCTATATAATGTCAACTAGTTTATGTAATTTTCTGATATATCGAAACCATATTGATTTAAGTTTTATATCATAGCTAATCCTGTCCAAATACTTAAAGTGAGGGGCTGAAAACAAGCAATGATTTACTCACCCAACACAAAAATTGCATTTTTCATTTTGCACTCTGCTAATGTATTGTAAGAGAGGATGAACAAACAGATTGGTCTCCTCCCACCACATAGCTGCATTGCCAGCACTCAGGGAAATAAAGACTGCATGGATTAAAAAGTGGCAAGGTTACTATTAAGGCATAGCTGCTGAAACAGGAGCATGCACTGAGGAGCTCTCAGTTCAACAGAAGCAATCTTGTTTGAGCAATGTCAGCCTCACTGCTAACAGGGGAGCCAGGGATGAGAATGCAGGTAAGATCTTTCTATACCAGGACATGAGCAAATCGTGATGAATTGCAGCCATTGCCATAGTAATTTGTACGGTGCATATTTTCTTTTAAATTCTGACTTTTGGAAACTGCTTTATTTTCAGCTGCTTGAGACAAAAGCATTGGAGTTTTTTCAGCACTGCCTATGAAGTGACATTATTGTTTGTGCTTGTTTTGGAATCTATTTATGGTGCACATTTAAGAAAGCATTTGCAGCTCCTAAGGTTTGTGTGTGTAATATTCACAATCATTTAAACAAACTTCCTTAGCATTTTTTCCCTAGGCAGCCTCTGAAGAAATCTTCCTCTGAATCACAGTTTGTGCATATGCAATTAATTACTGTCAGGCTGTTACACAGACTGATCATGTGGGAATTGACCATTTCATTTTCACATAGAAACAGCCTTTGCCTTTTGCTCTTGCTTAGAAACAGCCCTTGCTTTGGCATCTTGATGACGCTCTCATCCTCTGTTTCTGGATTAGATATTTTGATTGAAGTACTTGAAAGACATAATTTCATAAATACACATGAAGTAATCCCACCCAAACCACCTCATTCTCCCTAAGTCATTCTCATTATCTTGCTGAGTTTTCAGATACCTTTTAAAAGCTTCGTGTTGTAATGTGTTAATTTTTGAATTGTGTACCTTGTAGACATCTCATAGTATCCTGGTGATTAATAATAGGATAATAAGACAGTCTCCACTTAGAAAAATACTTTAACTTCTAGAGTTTTCTAACCAAATATCCTTTTCTTTTCCTATAAAGATGTCAACTTTTTTACGAAAGTGAAAACTGACTGTGGGTCATCAAACTATTCTGAATATTGTTTGCAATGATAACTAATTTTTATTTTAATATGCTCCTTAACAGTATGTTATACAGTTATTTATGGCTATAAATATATAGATCTATTCTAACACCAAGAAGAATCTTGAACTTATTTCTGAGCATTTCAGTAACAATAGATGGCTGGTGCATGGGCAATATGGAGACCCATAAATAGCATGTTGACTTAAAGAATTCTGCTTCTATATGCTCAGACTGGTCTCTATATGCTCAGGTCTGCAATACATGAGACAAGATTTAAAGGAAACGTAGCATCTTTGGGTTTATTTGTCTAGCTGCTTAGGTGAAAATATTAAACTTATTTTCATATATTTGCCCAGATTTTTCTAATGTAAAGCTATTGAACCTACCAAAAAATTTGGTGTGTCACTGTCCTTGAGCCTTTTGGCAGCAACAAAATGCCATGAAACATCTCTATATTATGTAAGATAGATAGTTCATGCCTCGAGTAGGAAATGACAGTAGCAGTTCTGAATGGCTGATGGCAAGTAATCACATTTAACAGAAAAGTGTCAGTATCATGATCAATGCAAAAAACTGTTTCCTTATGCACATGCATACAGTCTTGAATTGCTATTCATTGATTCTAAAGTCCGGGAACACTTACTTTTTTTTTTTTTGACAACACAGTCTCCAAATAATCGTTCATTTTACCTTATTTAAAAAGTAATATATAGAGACTGCACTGAAAGGAGTTGGAAAAATAGGGAGGAAATTCCAAGAAAAAGTGAATGTCTGGATCCATCTAAATTTTCCATCTGTGAGCTTATACAGAAAATAACTGGTATTGTCATTGTGTGTTTGTATTACATTTGCTGCCAGACAAACTTTACTTTTTTGTCTCTCCTATATGAGTCAGTATGTTGATTGAATTTATCATATTTTTTTTTAGTAGACTTCTATCTCATTTTAAAAAAAATGCACTGCATATACAGCAATTTAAGTTGTCTCATGTTGTCACTGTTTGTTCTTCTCGTTCTAGGTGATGTGATTGTCTATATTAATGAAGTTTGTGTCCTTGGACATACTCACGCAGATGTAGTCAAACTCTTCCAGTCTGTTCCTATTGGTCAGAGTGTCAACTTGGTGCTATGTCGTGGATACCCTTTGCCCTTTGATCCTGAAGATCCTGCCAACAGCATGGTGCCACCCCTTGCAGTAATGGAGAGGCCTCCGGTAGTGGTAAATGGAAGACATAACTATGAAACTTATTTGGAATACATTTCTAGGACTTCTCAGTCTGTTCCAGACGTAACAGATCGACCACCACACTCCTTGCACTCCATTCCAGCAGATAGTCAGCTTGATAGCACATTCCCACCACCTGCCCATGATGATAATGTATCAATGGCTTCTTCTGGGGCCACCCAAGCTGAACTCATGACCTTAACCATTGTGAAAGGGGCCCAGGGCTTTGGCTTCACTATAGCAGACAGTCCTACAGGACAGAGGGTGAAGCAAATTCTAGACATTCAGGGATGTCCTGGTTTGTGTGAAGGTGACCTCATTGTTGAGATCAACCAGCAGAATGTACAGAACCTGAGCCATGCAGAAGTAGTGGATATACTTAAAGAATGTCCTGTTGGAAGTGAAACTTCTTTGATTATCCATAGAGGAGGTAAGTTTGGAAAGTCTGTACAATTACAAAAATGTGTGTAAAAGGTTCTAAACCATAAGACATACATATACTCACTACATCCTTGTTTGCTAGATTGGAAATTAATTTCCATGTTGTGGGAAGTAACACCATTGGTTCTGGAAAAGTGTGTCTGTAATTAAGTATCCTAGGCAAAATCTTACAGTTTGTTGTACATTCCTTTATGTGTTTTGAGTGTCAATGGTCCCATCTCTGTATAAGGGTAAAGCTAGGCCAGTTCCAGACCTTTCACCCCATAATAGTTTGTGTGGTGTCTGCAGCAAACTCGCGTAAACCCAAAGCAGTGCTGCAAGCTTTAGATATAGTTGTATGTATTGACTCATTAATGTAGATCAAAATCAGAGCTACTTATTTTCCCTTTACAAGGTTACTGGTTTTCCTAAGACATTTGGCCTCCTTTTCATTCATTGTAAAAATTTTGTACAACAGTTGTTTGGGTCATTTTCTCTCCTGGTAACAGAGATCCATTGTATATATTTTTCTGATTTAAAAAAAAATAGCTTCTAGCGACTTGTTTTTTCTCACCAGCCTGACACAGTAAGTTTAAATGTTCACCATTGGAAGGAAAAAGTCAAGACATCCATAAAGAAGTAATAAGAACAGAAAAAGAGTTAAAACTTGACAGGGATTTCATAGCTTTTATTATTTTAGCCAAACAAAATTTCTTTGGTGGTTTCAGGTAAGCATCTATCCTAACTTATTGTTACCTGAAGTAAATCATGACTGGATTTTTTAAATTAAAAATCTTTTTTTCTCTAAAGGCATTCATATGTCACTCAATGTACATTACTCTGTGCTTCAAAAGAAAAAAAAAAAGATGCAAAAAGATGCAAAAATGCTAACTACTTTCCTTCTGAAGAAGAGAAACTGGGAAGTGAAGCTTTAGTGTTGGCATATGCCAAATGTTTATCATTACAATACCTAAAAATCCTTAGAAATAAGGACTATAGTAACATTATATCAAATTGCAGAAGTAACAAAGGTGGTTATAGGAGTCACATAGTCAATAATGGCACATAGTCAATAAAGTATTTTTCACATGTATATATATAAAAGAATGATTTACAAGAGAGAATCTGACAGAATTTCTTTGGAACGAAACAAGATTAGAATGATAATTAAATTGGACTCACTATAGTATGTGAACTTGAAGAAAGTTAATGGTTGTATTCATTGGTATTATACCTGGTTCTCCTTAATGGCCATTGAGAATCTTGAACAATGGAGAAAGAAATATTTTTTTATTAAGTTGGCAAATTAAGGAGAATTTCATAGCCAAAAAAGGGCATCAAGAGAATTAGAAGGGTTAGTGTAACCCCAAAAATGTGGCATTTTATTTTCAAAAAGGCAGGATAATCACCCTCTAGAGGAAAACAATTTAGAACACCAGTCTTCAGAGAGAAGTGGAGTGTGAAATCCAGCATGCTGAACAAGCCTGAGTAATAATAGGCAACAAAATAGATATTTCAGCAATCAGTACAGGACAATAGAAAAAAAAAAACCTGAAGCAGCAACATATTCAAGCCCCTGAGGATAATTGCTCTCTCTGGGGAGAATTTCTTCTTAGATCATTGATTCATGATCAAAACATGATAGCTTAACACTGATGAACATGATAGTTTAACAAGTTCTGGTACATTAACTGAGCTGTGGTTATTTTCTACACATGGCTGTGACAGGTAGGAGATATTACACTGAGCTCAAGGCTCAGTGATAAAAGGACTGTGAGTTTACACCATCTGCTCTGCCTCAGGCCAAACTCTGAGGCAAACCCTGCCTCAGTGACACAACATACTAGGTCCAAATGCTGGGGCAGAAAGTGATTGGTTGCTTTAGAGAAAGCAAGGAAGAGAAAGAGAGCACGTTTTGTTCATGGTAGAACAATGACCAAGACCAAAGCAAATGTTTGGAAATACTACAGTGTCATTAAACTTAATGGGATGGTACAGAACAAATGCAAATTTACTATCATAATTTTTTGTACATCAGAAATAATGACTATAATTCAAGACCGTGAGACTACAAAATTAAAAATTTTAAAAAGTTCATTTTTTGAGTGATTCAAAAGAACTGAAAAAAATAGTGTATTAATCAAACCTACTCTACCTATGAGATGGCTAAATCATATCTTAACACAAATATGAGAACTGTTTTAAGATGAAAACCAGGGTTTGTTTCTTTTTTTTTTTTTCATTTATTCATAGGAAAAGGGAACTTATGTGACTAACTACACCCTAGAATACAGATTAATATGTCTATGTTAGTCATCATGTCTCCTTTTATAAAGTCCCTGGGCAGAAATTGACTTTTCTATGATGTAATTCATGTAATTCCACTGAAGATGTTTCAAATAAGTCAGGTATATCTAAGTATACCTTAAAACTACATTTGCTGTTTGACTGATTACAAAGAGAGTAGAGGATGACTGATTCAGATGTATGTGTCTATCCTACAAGTTACGAATAATGAACAGGTGATAAGATTTGGTCATGTGAGATAATCTAAACACAAAACCAAATATTTTCTTTGACTCTAAAACATTTAGACAGTGACATCAGTAAAGCAAGGCATACTTTCTCATTACTCATGGATCCAAGTTTTAGTTTATTATCTTTGATGTGTAATGACACTTCAATTATGCCATCCTTTTCCATCATTACCCTATGCATCCTGTCTTTAGTGTCTAATTTTTAAGATTAGGAGCGAAGGGCTGTTCCTGCCTGTGGAGGAAGGCTGTGTTTTCCATAGGGTTGTGTGTTGCCTTGTAATGTTTCCATCTCTGATATGAATATGGCCTGACTGCACACCTAATTGTGGCAAATCCATTTCTGTAAGTGACTTAATTTCTCTCTCATCCAGCAATCTTATCTACGTTGCAGACAAGAAACAGATTGACATTGAGTGGTATTTATTCTCACTATAGGAAGTAGTATCTCATACTGGAAAAAATACTCCCTTGGATGCACACAGTGTGCATGATACAGCATTTTAAAAACCATTGTCCCACAAGCTTAAAAGCTCAACAACCAGAGGATGCAGAAGAAGAAAAGGTCTTCATGTTTCAAAATAGTACTCAAATTTCAAGAGGCCACTAAAATCTCTCTCACCATCACCAAAGAGAGACTTGTCATGGGGTACAATCCAGCTGGAGCAAGTCCCACAGCTCAGTCAACTCATTTTAAGATTTCTAAAGCAGAAGTAGCATTGTATCTTCTTGTTAAAACACAAAATGGTAATGGAAATAGTGTAATTGTCTATCAAAGGAAAGAATCTCTCTAGCACTGGCTAGATTTCTTACTGTCTTTTTCTTGTTTATTGGACAAGTTCTTTGCTAAGTAGATGCACCATAATAGTTCCGTATCTTTACATTTCTTTTTGCTGATCAGTCATATTGTTTCCATTGATTACTATGAGCTTATGAGCTGACAGATATGTTTGTACTGAAAAACAAAAACTAAAATTAATGGAAAAGTTAGTGGAAAAGTGTTAACAAAAAAAAAAAAAGAAAAAAAAAAAGGGGGGGGGGGGAATTAATATAAAAGAAAGAAATTAACACCCAAAGAGATTTACTTCTTTCCAGTTTTGCTTCAGGCTTTACACTTTATCCTCAACTTCTGCAGTAGATTTGATTGAGTATAGGCTACTGAACTAGTGTGGAAGAGCTCTCAAAAATCTGTCTTTCTGAATGTAGATAGAGCATAAATTCTGAATTAGTCCAGTACTACTGAAAAACAGTATGTGCTTTGTAGCAAATTTATGTAGAGCAAAATATTCAGTAATGAGAACTTCAAAAACTAGGTTTGGCATGTTCTACTAATTGAGCTATCCAAATATTTGACATATACCATCCCTTTTGAAAGCACCTTTGAAATACATGGACCTATAAACAGCAGCCCAGCTCCAGAAGTGTTCCTGTCTAAAAAAGAGCTGATAGATTCAAATCTAGATCCATCAAGACTATGTCTGAAATACTGTTGTTAAGGAAACCTTCAGACAAGCCAGGACTGATTCATTAAGTTATGGCAACTCATAACAGGTGTTGAGAGTGAAACATTAAATGCAAAAAGTGGGAGGCTGACAAAATTCCTACATCAGATGGCTATTTTATAATCATGGATTTAGAAAATGCTAGAATGCAAACTGGCTCTGAGAAAATGAGAATGTTGGTGAGAATGTTGGGCCACATGTAATGCACAGTCAAGGTGAGGAGGGAGAATTTAACTACATACTTGTAAATTGTGTGAATAAAAGGAACGCAAATTATCTTTCTCAGATACCGTATAAATCTTAGTAGAAGTGGGTAACTCCTTAAAATCACTAACAGATACCAGTACATCACACACAGCACCAGCAATTTCAAAAACAGGCAGAAATTTCACCAAAAAAATCTCTGAATATTCTAATGAAAAACACTAACCCCTAAAAATAAGCAGACTTCAGTGGAAGGAACCCTCCATCCTCAGTACCCTTTCCATGGACTTATTTCAAATTTTTTTTTTTTTTTTTTTTTTTTTTTTTTTTTTTTTTTTTTTTTTGCCAGGATTGCTATGTGTTTCAATTCCTCTGATCAGGAAAGCTCATGCTTCTTTATCTCCAGGTTGTTGCCTTTTGGGAAAGCAGCAAAAGATAAAGCTGTGGCAGCACTAGTCTGGCCGAGGAAATTCTGGTCTCTTTGTTCCATGACCTCAGCCCACTGCTGAGGTCTCTGTGGCTTTTGTTCTCATTCTGCAGTTTTTCATACAAAATATTAACAGAGCACCTGTGGCAAACTGGAGATCCTGCATCTCATGGCTTGCTCATCTCTTGTTCAGGACTTTCTAGTCAACAGTCCTGAGGATTTAAAGAAATTCAATTTAAAGAAATAAGTATGATGTAGGTTTTTTATTTGGGACTTACAAAGGTTTCCCATCATCCTACTGTCTCTACTGTTTTACATCCCTGAGTCATTGGCAAATTTTTCC